TATATATATATATAATATATATATATATATATAATATAACTTCAATTAATAGCAACATCACACTATCACAAATATACGCATTCACATCTCATTCACTCAATGTAATGGACCTGAATTCATCTATATCTACATGCATGCAGCATTAAAGATCTCATAACTTGTAGCTTGAAGGAGAATGTTCTTACTCATGATGAATGCTTCACATGCAAGACTCTAAGTAACACTTTATCTCATGGATTCAACTCATATTCATCTCATTCACTTAATACATCATCCTAATGTCAATCTCATGCATACACATTATTGCGACACCCTCTACTGTACGTGCATATCATAGTGCATTAATTATAACCAAATTGAACAAACAAAGTCTATCACAAAATGAAAATCAACGTGCTCAATGTATGGAAGGTACCACACATGAACTTAACAAATGTTAATGGAAATCCAATTGAAGTTATAATGAAAATAAAAATTTTCGTAAAACATAACAAAAATAGAAACTCCTAACTAAGTCCAAATATCATATCCTATTAGAACATAACCCAACCGTAAGGACTCGGCCTCATCCCTAAAATCTTTAACGTCATGCTGTGAAACACCTGCAACAACATATAAAATAAAAACACAAAGCAATGAGAGTGAGAAACATCTCACTCTCGCTCACAACGTAGAATAAAGTTAGATAGCCAAACACAAACAAAGATGGAAACATATAAATCATAATAGACTATTGATACAACAAAATACAATTTGACTGATAATAAATAAATTATATAACCAATACAAGTCATCACATATATAAATTCACTTGCATACGTAATCATATAATGTAATGGATTTGGACTTCAAGGTGCATATGCATGTGATGCCAATCAAATCAACTATTAATTGTCAATTGTAGCTTGAAAGTTAACTATCCAAAGGCATTATCAACTATTTTCCAAAGGCCAAACCTCAATTATGTTTATGATGTATGTTAAACAAGACTCAACACATTATCATATTATAATAATACACATCACAAATGCATGTCAATTTACTTGTCACATTAGTCTCATCTATATACCAAGGTAACACCTCATTCACTTTATCAAGATATTAATGTACATACTCAAACAATTTACCATTTCATGATTTTCCATACACATTTCATTTTTAGCATTCAATTCTCATAACTTCATAATTTCATATTCAACCATATTCATCAATTAGCTCAAGAATCATTCCTTGGACAAGATAACCAACACACACATAACACAGTGTATCATACAAGAGTCACATGTTCACAGTTTAAACACACATTTACACACTTTAACCCAATACACCTCAAGTCATTGACAATCAACTCACATGCTAACTTATTCGCGATTGTTCTCTCTCGTGATTTCTCTTTCCTAAATATTGTTAAAAGTATCTCAAACCATTCATAAGATCAAAAGCTTACAAGGGATAAAGTTATTCATTATCATCATTCACAAACTACATTTTCATAATCTAACCTTCTAAGACCTCATGTCGTCCAAACAAATTATCTAAAACTATACATATGTTATCAAGTTGATCTTAATTTTATTAGAAATATAAGAAAATTTTCTACAACTTCTATATTGACCTCAAGAGCCAATTCTATCATATGCTATTTTTACAAAATACAAAATCACAACATTTTCAGCCTAAATCTGATATTCTAACCTTTGCTCACTAATTTGATCATCACTTAAATTCTAGACCTCCTTTTTAAATGATTCCATTGGAATTTGAAAGTTAATATCTAAGGTTACAACTTTCATCAAGATTACAAAACCTAGTTCTTCCATTTAAGTCTACTCGAAAGGCTTATAATGTATACATGTTACATTTTGTAAAAAAAAATATGAGGTTTATCTTTTAACTTATATAACTCGGTCATTCCTTAATATTTTTTATGTGATTTTTAAGTCTAAACCGTAGCCCCAAATATCTACTTTCTAACATAATAATCAAAACTAAATTTTATTAATCACACACAAAGAAATCACATAAATAACAAGGTATATTTATACTAGAATTTTTAGAACAAGGC